ATCCACAATATTGAAGAAATATTTCAATTTCGTATAGGTGAGGGTGGAATTATTTGCAAATAGTTTGTTTTCCCCTTGAATTCCAAATACGCATTATGAACTAGGTAAAATTTGAATAGGTCACGATTAACATGAACGATTTTTGAACACAGCAGAATCCTTATCTAATTCTGTCCCCATTTCTTATCGCATTTGCAGTGTCTTCAAAAAAATTTTGCTATATGCTGTATAGTTCCATGTACAAATTCGTGAAACAAATGTCACCCCGAATTTTTATTGCGGTCATCAGATCCCCCAAAAGATGCCAGAGTTGTCGAAAATTTTCCCGGGATTACGTAACCTGCTCTCGGCCCTTTGCACACCACCATATTTGAATAAAGCTCTCGAAAATGAAAAGTCATTGTACAGCGGGTTCTTATCCAATATTGCCCTGGTACCCATTGTTACAGTACATTTTTTTAATTTTATCGTTATCTTTGTTTTTTGAGTGTTCATTTAAAATAAATAAATTCATTAAATTTTCCCATAATCAATACTGTCGAGGTAACACGAAAATTAGGCAATTTGTATTTTTTTTAACCCACTTATACAGTATATAGTAATAAATAACAATTTAAATAATATGCTAATGTTTAAAGTAATATTAATCTAATTTACAGTATAACACAATTTATTTATTGTCATCAAACTTAAATATACCTGTATACTTATAAAATAAAAGAAATTCATTTAACAATGTACAATTTGTATTACATAAATAAAGTTGGGATAAATGATGTGAATTTCCTACTAAAGTAATCTGTAGTAAAAAGAAAGCATTAAATATTATGTACTACGCATAAGCGCGTGACTTGTAATCTCTATTTGATTATGAAAAACGAAAGTCGCTTTTTGGGATGACATACAGACATGCTTCAAGAAAAACTTCCCTATAAAATGTATATTGGTTCGGAGGTTCCTAGTAAACCTTCCCCCAATTGGACACGATTCGTTTGCGTCAGCGATACACACAATACGGTCAATTCAGAAAATTTTCACTTGCCTGACGGTGATATTCTACGTGAGTTGGTGATATAACTAACAATGGAATAGCTTAAAATGTAGGAGTCGCTAACAACTTCATATAATTAGTTCACGCTGGAGATCTGACCAAGAATGGTGCTCTAAGTCAAATAGAATCAGTCGTTGACTGGCTCAAGAGCCTTCCACACGGGTGAGGAATGAAAACCTCATTCAAATTTCATTTGGAACAAATTTTTATACCACTCTTTTTGTTAGTCGTAAAATAATTATCGCAGGAAATCATGAAACATGGTAAATTCTTGGAATTCTTTATTTTATATAATTATTGGCTTCAAACCTATTTTCAGGTAATTTACTTCTTATTAAGCTTAGATATACCATTTTATCAGCATAATTGGCGGCGCTTCCATACTCAAAAACAAAATTCGGTTAAAGCACTCGAAATAATAAGAAATGCTGCTTGTGGAATTGTATATTTAGAAGATGAGTCATTTACAATTCCAGAGAACGGCTATAATATATATGGAAGTCCGTATTCACCAGAGTTTTGTGGCTGGGCATTTAGTGGAG